CAGCAACTAGAAGGATGTGAACCTACGACATACAACTATCTACTGGGGCTTTGGGGGGAAAAAAATGAATAAATAAAATCTTTAAAAAAAAAAAAAAAAAAGAAATATTAAAGACAAAAAAGGTGAAAAATAAAATTCAAAAGAAATAGTGACACAAAGACCAAGTATACTAACAGCATAATTGAGTGTCTTATGATGGTAATAACTGTTTATAATAATAAATAAGATATGAGAATGAAGATTTCGTATATAAAGAGTAGGCCAACGAACTTAGAATGAGAGATTCCAAAAGCACAGAGCCCTAAGAATGGGTTTACAGAGAAAATGTTAAACATGTAAAAGTGGAAAACAGGGCGCTGAGAAAGTGTGACATACATTAAAGAGGAAGAAGATGCAGAAAAAGGGGGGAGAGTATGAAAAAATGCCAGGAACATGAAAGTTATTATTAAAAAATAGAATTAAAAAATGGCCAAGCATTCCTTGTGGTCTTTTTGTACATTATATATGCCTCTAATAAACAGGGCAAGTGATTTCGCTGATAAGGACCTTTTTAGGCCCTATAGTACAACCTAGACGACTCCAGAAAGCAATCCATACTCATCTGCGTGACCAGGCAAAGTTGTTTCACAGTTTAAGGTTTCCGGGTTTCAACTTTAAGAAAAGGACAGAAGAAAGCACTTCAAATCCGACCTATCTCGGTTAAAAGATCAGAGGGAAAAAGGCGTCCCCTGAAGTAGAAAACAAAACAAAACACAAACAAAAAATGCAAAATAGAAGACAACCTACAAAACAAAACTGTGAAGAAGATAGAAAAAATAAGCAATCGAAGTCAAAAATAAAGAGGGGAAAACAGCACGGTTCAGAAGATTGGTCTGGCATCAGTATTCCAAGCTTTCACTAATCACCTCAAACCCCTAGCCCTCCACCTCATTCCCTCTCCCTCTGGGTAGATGACCTTGCCTCCTTCACCATGAAAACAAAGGATTACTTTAACTATCTGTGTCCCTAAGAATTTTCCAGATCCTTAGTTATTCCATATTCCTGCCCTCTAGTGTCAAAAGATAAAATATCCCTCTATTACCTAAGACTAATTTTTTCACCTGTTCCAACCTTCATCCCACCATAAGAAAGCTGCTCCATCATCCATCTCCTCTCTTGGTTGTATGATCAACCTTTCCCTCTTTACCGGCTTCCTTCCTCGACATATAAATACGGTCAAGGTCCTTCCATCTTAAAAATACAAAAGCTCTGCCTCCACCCTGCAACCTTTTCAAACTCATTAGCCAAAATGAGCTTTCCAAAATACAAAGCCAATTACTTTGATATTCTTGCTGAAAACCCCTAGAGAGTTCCCTGTTACCTTCAGGAAATTTTTCAAAATATTAAGATTTTATTTCTGACCAACAAATGTTCCCTCATTGGGCCATATTCTGCCATGCACTTATCCAAGCTGTCTGTAATGTCATTTTCCCATTTATTCCCCAGGTAACTGTGACTCATTCATCAGTATTCAGCACAAACAACACTGCCTCATATTTCCTGATCATAATCTCAGGCTGAGATATCAATCTTTTGCCAGTGTTCTCTATCTTCTCATGACCTCTTACACATACATGCATACTATGGCGTAATCTTTGCTTTTTCTTGTCTGTCACCCTCTCTAGACTATGAGTAGACTGAAAGTGAAGACTGACTTGTTCAGCTCTGTGTCAGCACCTTTGCCAGTATTCAATAAATGTCTATTAAACGAATGAATGATAGATCAGCAGCAAAGATACTGAGAAGTTGATGCAGTAAAGCAAAGTTGAAGCAACAAAGACTTGAAGATTCATTTTAACATGTGTAAAACTGATTATCATTTTTAATAGCATTCTACAATATCTAAAGCAATTGTTTTATGTGGCTTAAAAGGGAGCCAACAGAAAAGATAGCCTGTCTTCTACTGGGCCCTGTGATGTGCAGACTTGGATCATCTTTTCAGCCTAAGGATGAAGCAGACACAAAGAAAAGGCAGTGCTAAGGACGCTGCAGAGAGCTGGAGCCAGAGCCTTAACTACACCAGATCACTGCTCTACCTTCTAACTTTTCCTGCCGGATGAGTCAAATTTTATTTATTGTTTAAACCCTAACCTTTTCCATTCAAACTAAGTGAGTAAAATAAATTGTAAAATGGCCACAAATTCCCCCCATAACTGTATGCATGCCCCCTTGCAATGTGACTTAATTCCTTTTACCTAGAAAAGGTGCGGTCTATTTCTCCAGCCCTTGAATCCGGGCTTGGCTGTATGACTTGCGTTGGCTAATGGGACATTAGCAAATACAACACAGCAGAGGCTTTAAAGGTGCTTGTGCATTAGGGCTTTCCCTTTCTTGACTACCACGAACCTTGACTCTGAAGAAGCTACCAGTAACCCAGACTATAAAGTAAAGAAGCCTGAGCTAGCCTCCTGGAGGATGAAATACCACAAGGAGACAGGCTCCAGATCTCCCAGGCAAGGCTCTAGACTCACGAGTGAGGCTATCCTAGAACACCCAGCCACAATCAAGCCAGCCCCAGACCACAAGAACTGCCTGACCAATACACAGACTCTTGAGAAATAAATGTTTGTGGTTTTAAGCCAGTAAATTTGGGATAGGTTACTACACACTGTTATTGACTGGATTTCTGTGTCCCCCCAAAATTCATATGTTGAAGCCTTAACCCCCAGTGTGGCTGCATTTGGAAAGGGGCCTCTGAGGAAGTAATTAAGGTTAAATGAGGTCAGAAGGATGGGGCCCTGATACAATAGGATTAATGTCCTAATAAGAAGAGACACCAGGGATCATCTCTCTCTCTCTCTCTCTCTCTCTGTCTCTATGCCATCCGCAAGCCAGGAATAGACTCCTCATCAGAAACCAACCATGCTGGACCTTGATCTGAGACTTCTAGACTCTAGCACTGTGAGAAAATAAATGTCAGTTGTTTAAGCTGTCCAGTCTGTGCTATTTCCTTATGGCAGCCTGAGCAGACATTAATACGTACAGCATAGTGAAGTGATACAGTGAGTTTTAGCACTAGCCCTGCTAATTATTTTTAAAAGGTTACTACTAAAAAACTATTATTTTTTGGTAGACATAATTTAAGTTTTAAGCTAATTTATGGTTTAAGCTAATAACAGGTTGCCTTTTGTTGTCATATCTCTTCATCTGCTCTTATTGGACCATCAAAGTTCTTTTCTGTGGGGTATCTAAGACTGGACAGAGTGAAAATAGCTTCACCTACCCACTAAAACAATTTTGCTATGGTTACAGGGTACTAGAGCAATGTATTCACATTAACTCACTCAAATATTTTGAGCACCTACTACTTACTTGGCAATGACTATAACAAGGATGAAAGAAAATATACTCCCAACTCTCAACACCACTGAGGGAAAGTGACAAAATGGATAGTTTGTAGTACCGGCGATAGACTTTCACAGGTTTTATCACTTTAATGTAATCTGCAGCTTCAAATTTTATACATTAATGCCCTTAAACCACCTTTCCAAATACCAAAGTCAGGCTTTCATATACCAGTAGATCAATAACTTCAAAGTATAGTGTGGTCGTACTGCCTGCCCACCAATTGTTCAGTTCTGTCATATTTACCAATATAGCAGTAAATATGCCATTGTTTAACTATTTTACTAGTTTAGTAAATACTTATAGGTTGCCACAAATTTTACATTATTTTGCTTTTACTTTTTTAAATTCAGGAAAATGATAAAATCAAAAGGCTGACAGCAGTGATAATACAATCAATAAAAGATGGAACTCATCAAGTATACTGAAAGCAGGAATCTTTGTTCAGCTGACCACATGTTCAATTATTAAGTAAAAGATAAACTATATAACCATAGGCTATATTTAAAAGTCAAGTAGAAGTGATAGAAGAAGCACAGAAATCTTTGGAATTATGAACTGTTGCTTATAAAAACAACACTAGTGATCCAAATAAAAAAGAACAGTTGTGGGTCCACAGAGAGACAATCTTGAAATAATCTTGTTATAGGTTCCTTAATTATTTCAAGATGTCAAAAATGAGAATGTGAGGTAAGAAATTACTTGTTAAAATTAGTCAGAATAGGTAAATCTAAACAGAGAGAAAGTAGATTAGTGGTTGCCCAGGGCTAGGGGTTGGGAGTAATAGGTATGGGGTTTTCTTTTCGAGTGATGAAAATGTTCTAAAATTGATTGTGGTGATGGCTGCACAATTCTAAATGTACGTAAAAAATCACTGAATTGTATGCTTTAAATGGGTGAATTACATGGTGTGTGAATTACATCTCAAAAAATATATTGCTGATTAGGGCCAGCCCAGTAGCATAGTGGTTAAGTTCGCATGCTCCACTTCAGCAGCCCGGGGTTCACAGGTTCGGATCCTAGGCGCGGACCTACTCACCGCTTATCAAGCCATGCTGTGACAGGAGTCCCACATATAAAATAGAGGAAGATGGGCACAGATGTTAGCTCAGGGCCAATCTTCCTCAAGAAAAAGAAGAAGATTGGCAACGGATGCTAGCTCAGGGCTAATCTTCCTCACACACACACAAAAAAATATATATATATATAGCTGATTAAAGCTCTGATTTGAAAGCCTCAATAATTAAAAAGATATTAATTTGTCAATATTTAGTGTTTAATCTATGCTTTTTTTGTTTTAAATAATTGTGTCCATTATTCTAAGATTAAAAAAGTGAAACACTTATACCATAGAACCTTATAATTTTTCTACTCCCCTGAAAATAGAACATTCTCCTTGAAACAAGTAAATCTATTGTTCAACCTTTATACCCTCGACTTTCATACACATTTTCAGGAACACATGCAAGTAGCAGAGAGCCTATATTACGAAGTAAGCCCTATAACCAAAGTGTGAACAAAAAGGTGAGGAAGTACAGTGGTTGGAACTAATTATCCTTACACACTTTACTATTCTCTCTTTAATTAGAGCACTTTCCTATCAGTCCGCAACTTACCTTCATCATGACATTCAGTGCATATTTTTGATCCTCCCGTCTTGCTGCAGCTTTTGCTTCTGTAGCTTCTTTTGCTCTTTCTTGTGCTTGTAAAATAGATTTCTCCCTTATTCTTTGCATCGTCTCTTTGTCAACTAAAACATAAGGAATATCACTAAATTAGGATGATGATGAATTTGTTTTACTTAGGGGAAAACTGCTTGACATACTGATGCAGGATGAGATTTTTTGGACCTAACTTCACATGGAGAAGTGAAAACATTTCTCAGTATTAAACTGTCCAAGAAGCTAACATTAAAAGAGAGAGAGAGAGGGCTGGCCCCGTGGCTTAGTGGTTAAGTGCGCGCGCTCCGCTGCTGGTGGCCCGGGTTCGGATCCCGGGCACGCACCGACGCACCGCTTCTCCGGCCATGCTGAGGCCACATCCCACATACAGCAACTAGAAGGATGTGCAACTATGACATACAACTATCTACTGGGGCTTTGGGGGAAAAATAAATAAATAAATAAAATTATAAAAGAGAGAGAGAGAGGGAAGGAAGAGGAGGAACAACAGAGAGGGGGAACAAGGGGGAATAAGAAGGCGGAGGAGGAGAGAAGAGGGAGAGGTACACAAGAGGGAGAGAGAGGGTAGTGGAGTGAGGCGGACGGAGGAAAGGGAGGGGACAAGATCAGGGGAAAGAAAACACATTTATCCTTCTCCCTCTCTGCTGAAAAACCAGGGCTATTTGCTTATAAACCTGATCACAATACATCATCACTATGGGGTGTACTAGAAGAGAAGATGGGTTGACACCATCTGATATGATGAGTCACCTTCACAAACATAAATGGTCATTTATACATATGAAGAGTACAGGGCCAGCCCTAGGAGAAATTATAAAGTAACACGATATGTTATATATAGAACTCTACCATTCACAATTATTTTTATATTCAGTGACTCAATGTTCTACAAACTACATGCTATGATCCATTAGGCGGTAAATTATCTTAGGGGAAGAGGGATCGGGAAGGGATCAAGACTTTGAGGGAAAAAAAAAACAGGAGGGGAGAGAACACTTGTGGGGAGAGGGTGAAGTGGGGGGAGAATAAAGTGGAGGGAGGGGTAGGGGACAAACCAGGCCCCAGGCAGGGGTTCTTAACCTTTCCTGTGCAGCAGGCCCCTTGGCACAACAGTAAAGCCTTACAGACTCCTTCATGTTTTAAAACGTATGAAATAAAATACACAGGATTACAAAGAAAATTAGTTAAAGTACAAATTATTAAAAAATTAATTTGTGATATACTAATACATGCTTCTTTATTAATGAATTAAATTATAGCAATAAGTTTAATAATTACTATAATTTCAAAGTAGCAAGTATAAAAGATAGAGGCACCTGTGATATGAACACATTTGTGATTTTTGTTGATACTACTGTTGTTTGTTGCCTACATTAATAACTGAAGAGAAGTTAAGTTTCAGTTAGAGGTAAGTAAAAAGTATGGAATTTTTACTCATCCAAGATCCTGGCTGGGAATTAGGACTGGCATTAGGTCTGAAGCCTCTCCCCAACCCTCTCCTATTCAGTAACAGGGTGGCAGAGAGTGGAACCAGCTTCAGCTTCAGGGGCAAAAATAATTACAAGAACATCAACTTTCCAAATGAAATGCTCCACATCTAAAAGAAATGAAAAGTGTATCAAGAAGGAACTTCAGGAAAAAAATGGAGCAAATATGTTTTGAATAAGGAGGCAGACAGGCTGGGAGTACAGACCAGAGTTCCACAATACTTTACGTGAAAAAAGATTGTTAAACAAATAATTTCACTGAATTGCATGTAAAACCGAGTTTGATTTCTAAAGGAATCTCAAATCTTTTTTTTTTTTCCACTCCCCAAAACCCCAGTGCATGGTTGTATATCCTAGTTGTAAGTCTTTCCAGTTCTTTCACGTGACCCGCTGCCACAGCATGGCAACTGACAGATGGGTGGTGTGGTTCTGCCACCGGGAAATGAACCCAGGCCACCAAAGCAGTGAGAGCGCCAAACTTTAACCACCAGGCCATCCGGGCTGGCTCTATAAGTTAGTTTTAAGACCATTTTGATTAGTCTAAATCAGAAGTTGGCAACCTACAGCCAAACCCAACCTGCTGCCTGTTTTCCTTTAGCACACAAGCTAAGAATAATTTTTACATTTTTAAATAGTTGAAAAAATCAAAAGAATAATAATAGTTTGTGACACATAAATATTAGATTAAATTCAAATTTCACTGTCAATAAATACGTATTGTCTATAGCTGCTTTTGTGCTACAATAGCAGAGCTGACTGTAACAGAGACCATATGGCCCTGCAAAATCTAAAATATTATCTGGTCCTTTACAGAAAAAGTTTGCCAAACCTTGGTTTAAATGGTCAAAACTTGGAATAGTTGACCATACAACCATGAAAGACAAAAACTGAGTAGATGTGCAGTGAAAGTAGATGTGTAAGACAGAGAGGAACATCACGATTAGGAAAGAAAATTCCCTTTCCACTCCTCAATAAGGCGGCCGACCAGGTCAAGAAGGGAATTTGAGGAATCTGACGTAGAAGAAAGTGTTTCATCTCAGAAATAGGGGAAAGTAACGGGTTTTCTGATATAACCCTTCCTTATATCCTAAAAAGTCGGTAGACAAAACGTTTCCTGGGGAAATATGTTGGCCACCGAGAGAGAGGCAGACAGATACACACACACGCACATTTAAGTCAGTGATTCTTAAACCTGGCCAGTCATCAGAATCACCTAGGGAGTCACCCACCTCCAACCTGTTTATTTTTAAATAAGCCATTATAATAGATGATGGTTCTGGTCCCATCCAACTTCAAAATTAAGATTATCAACAAGAGTTAAAATAAATGCAAGTTTACAATTAATCCTAGGTAAGAAGTCAGAACACCCTAGGTGTGTTTTATAGTCCCAGGCCCCACCTCAGAATTTTTTTTTTTGGCCAAGGAAGATTAGCCCTGAGCTAACATCTGTGCCCATCTTTCTCCATTTGTATATGGGATGCCACCGTAGCATGGCTTGAGGAGCGGTGTGTAGGTCCAAGTCCAGGATCCGAACCTGCGAACTCTGGGCCTCCGAAGCTGAGTGTGTGAACTTAACCACTATGCCACCGGACCGGGGCCCCCATCTCAGACTTAATGAATCACAAAGGAAGGCAAGGGTAGGAGAGCACGAATCTGGTTTTTAAAAACTCCTCAGTTAATCTGGGACTCACTAAAGAACTAAAGTAACCTGGCTATGGTAACTACCTTAACAAGTATTTTCTGAGCTGAACACAGATCTTAGAGAAAAATTCTACTTGGTCCTGGGAATTAAAACATGAAATTCCACCGCAAAATACCAAGAAAGCATTAATATAAAGAATGACTGCAGTATCTCCATTATCAACAGTTCCTACTCAAGGCATGATGCTCGAGGCCAAAGAGAAATTTCAGGCAGTAGATATAAGGCACGAGAAAAGTTGACAACTAGAACAAGGAGGAAGAAAATAAAACTATAGCAGCAGAGGACAATTACTGACCCACAAAGCTAATCTTGGCAGAGGAACAGAGTACTGATTAAGAGTACAGAGAATAGGAAATCCCAACTTTGCACATTATAATCCCTGGAAAGCTTTTTTAAAAAATACCAATACTTGGATCCCACTCCCAGAAACTGATTGATTGGTCTAGAGGGACTTTCAGACATCTGTATTATTTAAAAGTTCTGTAGGTGATTCAAACACCTAGCCAAGGTCGAGAACCACCACTCCAGAGTCAAACTGCTAAGGCTCCAGGTCCAGCCTGCCACTTAGTAGTTGTGTGACCTTGTCAATTACTCAACCCTTCTGTGCCTCAGTAGCCTTTAGGTGTGTGTGGGGGGGGGCCCTAAGTGATAGGTTGTGTCGAGGATTAACAGATGTGTTAATGCCTAATACAAAATAAGCATTAGGCCATAAATAAAAGCATTAGGCCATAAATAAAAGCTATGTCCAGAGGACCCCTGAAGATACAAGCCCACATCTTCAGCTTAAGAGCTATTATCCCGGGCGTGCACCGACGCACCGCTTCTCCGGCCATGCTGAGGCCTCGTCCCACATACAGCAACTAGAAGGATGTGTAGCTGTGACATACAACTATCTACTGGGGCTTTGGGGGGAAAATAAATAAATAAAATTATTAAAAAAAAAAAAATCTGTCTTCTCCAACTGAATGTAAGCTCCAGGAGAGCAAGGGCCATATTTTTTATTCACCATATATCACTGACAGAGGTCTGACCTTAGACTTTCAAAGTGGAAACCTTCATACGGCTTCATTACTGAGTGAGGTTTTGGTGTCTGATAATTTGGGATTTCTCTTTCACAAACTGCAACCTGAGTCCTGAGATAACACGCAGGGATGGATTAGCAACTTTACTGTCTGTCTTTTCCACTCACTTGGGACCCAGGCTAAAGCATCAGCTGCCCCAGAGAGCACTGACTAGCTGGGAGGGGCAGGAAACTTGTTGTGGGAACCAAAGTGGGAAGAAGGCCCTGTGTGGTTGAGGTTGTTCACGTAAAGCTAGAGTTTTGCAAATGATGAGACAGGACACTGACACAGAATGAAAATGCAAGGTTGCAAATCCTGCCCTAGTGAGCTGGAAAGGGGAACTGTACAATGAATGGAGATGGGGGGTGGGGGAGGAGGGATTCTGAAAAGGCAGTACTGGTGGCTTTATAATTTGCTGCTTAACTTCTGCTTTCAGCATCTGCTGTGACCAGATGGTGTGCAGTGATCTCTCTGGCCAACTGAGCCAAGGAGGGAGTAGAACCTCCCCTGTCTTTGCAAACTATAGTCTGTGTCTGGAGGGGAACAAATTGCCCCGTAGCACTTTGCAATTGCTCTCTCACACACACAAATCTTATCTTTAATCCCTAAATGGACTATATTGATATGCTGGTCAAATACTGACCTTGGATTTTTTTCCAGATCGCTGAGGCACCCTACTGCCATTCCTACCCACCCCCCAATCTAGATATCCCGAAAGGTTTTCTAATTAGTAACTAGCCTTTTATATTCTCAGTGATTCTCCAACTTGAAGAACCATCCCACTTTTAAAAGTGGGAAAAACCTTCATGAATTCCTTT